CAGCCTTCCTGCTCCTCTGATGCTGCTTGGCCTGCTGCGTTCATCCAGCTCTACACCTTGTTATCTCATTCTCCAGCATCTGCAGTTCCTACTATCTCTGAAACACTAGGATATTAGCTCTTTTTGGAGTGAATTGTAATGATCTGGAATGCACTGCTTGGAAAGGGTGACAGAGGTAGATTCAACAGGAACTTTCCAAAGGGAGTTAGATAAATTAATTGAAGAGTAACAAGAGCTGTTTGAAAACAGCAGGGCATTGAGATTCATTGATTAGCTGGTGCCAAAGATCTGCTACAGATCAAGTGAATGGATGCTTTCTGCTGCAAGATTCAGCATCTCTTTGACTGTCTGCATGAGAATTAAATAGGAAATTGTTTAGTAAAATGTCAGAGATCTACAGTGGGATCTTGCAAGACTGAGGCAAGGCAGCCAAAGACTGCCCATTTCCCCTGGAGAGGGCAACTGGTATTTCCAGGAGTGCTGAGCCAAGAGAAAACCTATCAGTTAAAAAGCAATGTGTAGAGTAAATAAATATCAAGAACAAACATTGCACTCTGCCCACTGGGGAAATAGGAACGGGGCTGGGGACAGCTGGGGTGAGTGGAGTGGGTGGGGGCACATTTTGTGAACTGTATCTGGAGCACAGGAAACCAACAGGGTCCTCTTTGGGAAGTTTACATAAAGGTTTTAACCTGCAGTTAGGTTTAAGGCAGGGATGGAGCTGGTCACTGCTGACCCTTCGGACATGGCTTAGAAATGAAGAGCAATGATGACATTCCAAGAGTGAAGAAGTTGGGAGAAGAGGCTCTGCCACCAGTAGATAATCTCAAAGGCCCCTAACAATATGAACACAGAAGAGTTGGGTGTAAAGGGAGAAGTGGGGGGAGAAGGCAGGAGAACGGGGTTGAGAAACACATCAGCCATGACCGAGTATCAGAGCAGACTTGATGGGCTGAATGGCCCAATTCTGCTCCTATATCTTATGGTCTAAGTAATGAGAGCTCATCAGAAAGGCATGGTGATAATCCTGGGATATTTTCATCCATATATCGGCCGGAAATGTCAGATGGGCAAATGTAGCCTAGGTGAGGTTGTCACTGCCTCTTTCAGATACTTTCTTAGGACATTGGTGAGGCTTCTTCTGGAATATTGTGTCCCGTTCTAGTGGTCCAGTTATAGGAGGATATTATTAAGCTGGAGTGGGCTCAGAAGAGATTTACCAGGTAGAGAAGGTTTGAGTCATAAGGTGGGGCTGGATAGACTGGGACTTTTTCCACCGGAGCATAGGAAGTTTTGACTTTATAGAAGTTTATAAAATTAGGAAGAGTATATAGATAGAGTTAATGGTAGGTGTCTTTTGCCCTAGGATGTGGGATTTCAAGACTAGAAGGCACATTTTTAAGGTGAGGAGAGCGAGATTTATGAAAGACATGTGGGCCAAATTTTTTTTTTTTTAAATAACACAGAAGGTCGTTTGTGTGTGGAATGAACTTCCTGAGGAAACGGTAGATATGCGCACAATTACAATATTTAAAAGACATTTGGATAAGTACATGAACAGGAAAGGTTTTACAGGTATATGGGCCAGGAGCAGGCAGGATGGGACTAGTTTAGTTTGGGATTACATTCGGCATGGACTGGTTGGATCAAAGAGTCTGTGCTGTATGACTTTATGACATGTTCTGGAGCAGGCCAGGGAGCAGGCCTCTCTAGATTATGTAATGAGATAGGATCTCATAGAGAAGACACCCCTCGGTAGCAACAACCATAATATATTTGAATTTTGAATTCATCTGGAGGGAGAGAAGAGTGGGTCTGAGACTATTTTTAACATTTAAATAAGGGCAATTATGAAAGGATAAAAGCTGAGCTGGTGAAAGTCAATTGGCAAATGAGGTTAAAGGACCAGTCAACTCAAATTCAGTGACTGATATTTCAGGGATTTATCAGAATATTTCAGATATATTCAGAAAACTGAGTACATACATTTGAAAGTGATGGACCCACCATCCATAGTTAATGGGAAATGTTAAAAATAGTACCACACTTAAAAGAAGAGCATATAATTGTATAATCTCTGTGAAGATGGGTGGCAGGTCAGAAGATTGGATAGAATATTAATTTTAAAAAAGGTAAAGAATGAGTAAAATGTTAATAAAGAGGGAAAAATTAGAGTGTGAGCGATAGCTAGTCATAAATAAAAAAAAAGATGGTAAGAGAAAAGAACTAACCAAGTGAATGCCGGTCCTGGAGAAAGTCAGACTGGAGAACTAATAAAGGAAAATAAGGAAATGGCAGGTTAACTGAACAGATATTTTGTATCAGTCTTCACAACACAGGATACATGTAACAACTCAGAAGCAGCAATAAATCAAGATATGGAAGGAAGTCAGGAACTAAGGAAAATTACAATCACCAGAGAAATGGGGCTGAGTAAATTGTTGGATGGAGTTTGACAAGTCCCTGGATCCTGACAGACTACATCCTAGGCTTTTGGAGAAAGTGTCTGGTCAGAAAAGTGATGTATAAGTTTCAATTTTCCAAATGTTTCTTGATTCAGGGATGGTCCCATTGCATTGGAAAATAGTGAATATAATTTGTTTCTTCAAAAAGAGAGACAGAAAGCCGGAAGCAACAGATTAACAAGGTGCAGAGCTGGATGAACACAGCAGGCGAAGCAGCATCAGAGGAGCAGGAAGGCTGACGTTTCGGGCCTAGACCCTTCATCAGAAACAGGTTAGTTTGCTTAACATCGGTCATAAGAAAAATATTAGAAGCTTTTATCAATGAAGTTACACCTGGGCACTTGGATAATTTTAAAGTGATCAGGCAGAGTCAACATGGTTTTGTGAAAGGGAAATCATGTTTAATTGATATAATGGAATTATTTGAGGGGTAACATGTGATGTTGATAAAGGGAAACAATAGATGTACTGTACTTAGACTTCCACAAGGCATTTGATAAGGTGCAAAGTTATTGAGGAAAATAAAAGGTCAAGGCGTGGGGGGTAACAAATTGCCATGGATAGAAGATTGGCTTGCTAACAGAGTACAGAGTAGGAATAAATGGGTCTTTTCAGGTTGGCAAAATTTAATGTGCCATAGGGAACGCTGCTGGGACCTCAGTGGTTTACTATCGACAAAAATTGGCTCAGATGAAGGGATGTAAGGTATGGTTGGCAAATTTGACAATGACACAAAGCCAGGAAGGAAAGTAAATTGTGAAAAGGACACACGGTTACAAAAAGATGTACAGGTTAAGTAAATGGGGAAAGATGTACCAAAATGAGTATAATGTGTGAGGATGTGAAATCATCCGTTTTGGCAGGAAGGAAAAAACAAAAGCACATTATTTTAATGGTGAGAGATTGTAGAGCTCAGAGATTTGGGTGTATCCATGTGTGAACTGCAAAAGGTGAGCATGTAAGAACAGCAACTACTGAGGAAAGTTAATCGAATACTATCATTTATTATTAGAGGAATTCAATATCAAAGTAGGAAGGTTATACTTCAATTATAGAGGGCACTGGTGAGACCACATCAGGACTATTGTGTACAGTACTGGTCTCCTTATTTTAAGAAAGCTTGTAAATGTATTGGAGGTAGTTTAGAGAAGGCTAACCAGGCCGATAGCTGGAATGGGTGGGTTGTCTTATGAAGAAAGGTTGGACGGACTGAGTTTGTATCCACTGGGGTTTAGAACAGTAAGAGGTTACTTGACTGAAACCGACAAGTTTCTGAGGGGTCTTGGACATTGAGAGGATGTTTCTTCCTATGGGGGGAAATCCAGAACGGAGGAGGGACTGTTTAAAAATCAGGGGGTCACATCTTTAAAACAGGCAGCAAGCAATTCTTTTCTCTCCCAGGAGGGATGTGGAGAGGTTTTGGAGCGCTCTTCCTGAAAAGGCAGCGGAAGCAGAGTCCTTGAATATTTTTAAGGCAGAAGTGGGCAGATTCTTGATAAGGAAGTGGTTGAAAGCTCGTCGGGGCAAGTGGGAATATGGATTTGAGGTTGCAATCAGATTAGCCACAAGATTACTGAATGGTGAAGCAAGCTTGAGGGGCTGAATGGCCTACTCCTAATGCATATCTTTATGTGTTGATCAGATGGTAACATGGATCATGGAAATAGCCCTGCAGGATTATGGTCAACCCTGACCTACACTCCAATCTTTTGGGGCAACATGGTAGGAGCTCAATGGTAGTCAGCTTCATGTTAGTTCTTGTCTATCCCTCCCTCAAACCCCTCGCAACTCTTGGGCTAGAAAAAAAAGGGTATTTTTTAATTCATTACAGGATATGGGCACCACTAGATGGGCCAGCATTTATTGCCCGTCCCTAGTTGCCCCTTGAGAAGGCGGTGGTGAGCTGCCATCTTGAACCACTGGAATCCACGTGCTGTAAGTTGATCCACAATGCCTTTAGAGAAGAAATTTCAGGATTGTGACCCAGGGACACTGGAGGAATGGCGATATATTTCCAAGTCTGGGTGCATTTAGATTTGATGGGAGCTTTTAATGGCAGTGTTCCTATGGATTTTGAAGGTGCTGTCAAGGGAGGCTTGGTGAGCAGTGCAGATTACAGATGATCCACAGTACTGCCAGAGTAGATTAGTGGTGAAGGCAGTGGATGATGAAGGTGGTGGATGGGATGCCAATCAAGTGGCAGTGTGCTTCGAGTGTTATTGGAGCTGCACCCATCCAGGCAACTGGGGAGTATTCCATCACACTCCTGACTTGTGCCTCGTAGGTGGTGGACAGGCTTTGAGGAGTCAAGAGGTGAGTTACTGACTAAGATTCCTAGCCTTTGGCTTATTCTTGTAGCTGCTATATTTAAATGGCTGGTCCAGTTCAGTTTCTTGTCACTGTAACCAATGAAGGGAAGGTCATTAATGAAGCAGCTGAAGATGGTTGGGCCTAGGACACTATCCTGAGGAACTCCTACAGAGATGTCCTGGAGCTGGGATGACTGACCTCCAATAAACATCAGTGTCTTCCTTTGTGCCAGGTACGGCTCTAACCTTTCAGTTCTGATCAGTTCTGAAGAAGGGTTACTGGACCCGAAATGTTAACACTGCTTTCTCTCCACGGATGCTGTCAGACCTGTTGAGTTTCTCCAGCAATTTCCATTTGTGTTTCAGATTTCCAGAGTCCGCAATTCTTTGTTTTATTATGTGACTCTAATCCTGTTGTCATCAGTGACCCATTGCCCATTTCCAGGGGCCTAGTGGTCTAGTTCATGGCTTGTAGCCTACAGAGTGAGAGCTGGAATATTCTTTGCTAAGTTGAGAAGTTTAATTCAGCACTTCAATAACTGTCCAGAAGTAAAGAGCTGGTTTCAGCTAAAGCAGCTGTAAAGTTGTTGTTTTGTTGAACAGACCTGTTGGGTTCTTTACATGTTGTTCAAAAGGCGGAAACCTGCTGTGTTTACCCAGTCCGTACCTATAGGTGACTCCAGTCCCATTTCAATATGGCTGAGGCCTAACTGTCATCTGAAACGGCTGAGACAGGACTCTCTTCACTGGGAGAAAAGAGGGTATCTCACTGTCAATCCTTCTCGGGGGTATCCAGGGATGGGATGGGTATAAAGGTAGACTTTTCAGTGACACCCACATCTCAAGAACCAATTAAAAACAAAAGGTTTAGGCTCATCACTGAATGGATTGTCCTTTGCGCTCTCTTCAAGGTAGATGTAGCATTCACTTTGGGTTTCTGGATAAAAATGAAGGTGGTCTTGCCAGCACAAACTGATCCCAGGGATCACTGGGGCAGACGGTTTCTTGGCAGAAATAGTCCAAATGGCAAGGTATACCCGCTGCAATAGGTGGCAGCAATCAGTTTTCATATCTGGATGAGTTTGTTGTCATTGTTCACTCCCCATTGCTCCTGATGGTGTTGAATCTGCAGGGGCTTCCAAACACTCTTTGGGCTTCACTCAAGTAGTCACTCCTCTTGGAAAAGACCAGAAGACAACTTGCCTTTCGGCAGCTCCAGTAAATAACCACATCCAGGCACTCGGCCACTTTGCTGGGGAGAGGCAGCCCTGGTTGATTTTCCCCTCCCTGCCCTGGGGACTGAGGGAGAGGCAGCAATGAGAGCATCTTGGCAATTAAGCAGACTATGACTAGCTGGCTCAGGACACTCCGAGACATGGCTGGTCAGTTTGGCTCAGTTGTCAGCTCAAGCACCAAGCATGGCCCCCTCTGAAAGCCAACATTTAAAGGCCTTCCTCACCTCTGCAGTGACTACACCTCGCTGCCCTGTCATCAACGAGGCTGACACTCCCCTCTGGCAACTTGCTCACGCAGACATAAGGGTCAGGGCTTTCTCCAATCAACAGCTCCTGGGTTTCAAGGCAATCCTTGGACACGGCTTGGCGCTGATTCGCAGACAGCTCCGAGCTGCAGTGAGGACACATCCGACACCCGGAGATATCACAGGATATGGCTGCGGGTGGTCCAGCCTCCAGGCTGTCAGGTGGGATGTAGAAAGACTGGGGGGGCTCTCGAACAATTTGGCCCCCTCCATCCTGCAGCATGTTGCCCATGAGCTCAGAGGGGTCCGCCAGCTGATGTTTCCTGGGAATGTCCAGAGGGGAGCACACACAGCACCTAGTAATGCTGGGAATCCGACAGGTTGCAAGCTGGTCGGCTACGTGAGTCTGTCGAAGTTGCTGCCCTCCTATTGGATCAGCCTGGCTCAAACCCACACACTGGGCCTCCGAGGCTCGGAGAGGTCTCGTGGGGTGAAATTGGGCAGGCCCAGAAGTCTCAGCTGTCGGGTAGGGCAGTTTCTCCTTATCTATATGCTTCAGCTCAATCTCCACAGGGGGTTCACTTTCCTTTTTCCGGCTGGTGGAATTCCCATTCAGGAACTTGCCATATTTCACAGATGAGGTGCTGTCTAACTTCTGATAGTTTTTCTCTAATGGTTTGCCCTCTGGATAGAGCTGGCTGGTGGCATCCAGTACACCACCATGTTTCAAGGAGGCTTTTGTGTCTCCTGTACCGAAATCTGCCCTGTCTCTAATCTTCAGGTTCTTACTATCCGATGGAGACGCAATCAGAGTTGATTTGGGGATAAAGCTCAAGGACTGGGGTCCAGTTTGACCCGGAGACAATTTGATGTGAGATTCCGATAGTGCCCTTTGCACCATGGACTGGTCCAGGACCAGCAGAGAGTCACACTGCCCCGTCGCCCCGCTGGGACTGGCAGTGTCGAGCAGCCTCTGAGAGTGTGTGTAGCCCAAGTTGCCGGTGATGGCAATATCGGTGTAGTCGCGATACAGGTCAATGCTGTCTGGTGGAAACATCATGGAGGTGGACAATGGATCGTTGGTGGTGTCCGACTCTCTATCCTCGAGTGCTCCTACCTGCAGCCCGAGGGTTCCCTGGTGGTTGGCAGAGTGTGGCAAGGGTGAGCTGGGCAGCTCAGACTCATCAAGGCCTCCCTCACAACTCAGGGCTGACTTTGTGGGCCCCTCATTCGCTGGAGCGGACCATTCACTGAGATTTCTAGATCCAGTTTTCATTGCGATCAAGTGTTTGATGCAGTCGGCCTGATTGAGAGACATGCAAGATCTCATCTGCACAATGTCTTGACAGCTACCGTGCATGGCTTGCTCCAGAGTCTCCTGCATCAGCTCACACTCAGCCCTGGCTAAGAAACATTCAAACCCATGTTGGCCAATGTCTTCTTTGCTGACCTGCTTGGAGATCACATATTCACTGGTTCCTTTCTGAGTGTAACCCAAATTCACCAAGACCCCTGGAAGGACCTCGGGAGGAAAAACCGGCTCAATGAAGTAGACAAAGGCTCCTGTGAAAGTCTGAAATAAATAAGATGAAATTAGCTTTTCAAGGAAAAATAATCAAAAAAGTTTTATCTCCAATAACTTCCCTCCCACTCCCAAGGGACCCCTCCTGCCTCTCCCAATTCTAACCGAAGAACATGAGCAAAAAATTATCCAGCCTCTTGAATCTGCTAGACCATTTAGTAAGGTAATCTTTGATCTTAACTCCACTTTCATTCCCAATCCCAGGAAGTTACAGTCCAAAAACTGGTCAGTGCCTTGATAGTGAGAGGCAATGGCTTAGTGATGTTATCATTAGACTATTAATCCAGAGACCCAGGCCATGTTTTGGGTGACCCGGGTTTGAATTCTACCACAGCAGATAGCGGGATGTGAATTCAACAAAAATCTGGAATGAAGATTCTAATGCTGATTGTCTGGAAAACCCATCTGGTTCATTAAATATCCTTTAGGGAAGGAAACTGCCATCCTTACCTGGTCTGGCCTACATGGGACTCCAGACCCACAGCAATGTGGCTGACTTTTAACTGCCCTCTGGGCAATTAGGGATGGACAATAAATGCTGGCTATAGCCGATCATCAAATTTAATAAAAAGGCTCTCCACAGTTAAAGCTTCCCATGGTATCAAAGAATCACAACCCCATCATGTCAGTCCAAAATGGTCAACCCCTTAACCTCAGATTTTCCAGTCAGGGCAAAAACACTCTCAGCATCTCAGCTTGGAACTTCAAGCAATGAATATTAATAAAAGAAAAAATGCTGGAGTAATTAATGGGATCAAACTCTCAAATTTCCTGGATTTAGTGGTCTATGCCTTCGAGTTCTAAAAGAGTTGGCTGCAGAGATAGTGGATGGGCAGCTTATGATCTTCCAAAATTCCCTAAATTCCAGAATCTTCAAAATTTCAATGAGATCGCTTCTCAGTCTTTGGAATTCCAGAGACTAGAGGACTACTCTATTATAGCCATGTCTTATAGGAAACCTTCTTACCACAGGAACCAGTCAAGTGAACCTCCACTGAAATCCCTCTGCAGCAAATAAAGCCAAAAGACATTGGATTCCAGCTTTTTGCGACTTATACACACAGACTCCCAAATCCCTCTGTGCTGCAGCTTCCTGCAGTCTTTCTCCATTTAATTAACATTCAGCTTCTCTGTTCTTCCTGCCAAAGTGCATAACCTCACAATTTCCAATATTGTATTCCATCTTGCTTAACCTGTCCATATCCCTCTGCAGACTCTGTGCCACTCTCACTACTTGTCTTCCCACCTACTTTCATATCAGCTTGGCTTTGGTACATTCGCTTTCCTCAAAATTATTAATATATATTGTAAAAAATTGTGGTCCCAGCACTGATCCCTGTGGCATTCTAGTAGTTACATTGTACATCCTTCTTAAGCACAGAGACTAGAACTGTACACATTGTTTTCAGTGTGGTCTCACCAAAGCTCTGCAAATTGAACAAGACTTCCAGACTCCTTTCAATCCTCTTACAATAAAAGGCAACATCTAATTCACTTCCCTTGTTGGGGAAGTACTTGCAAGTTAACTTTATGTTGTTTGTACTTGGACTCCCAGAGCCTTCTGAACAACAACTGTTAATAGTTTCTCACGGTCTAAAAAAAATAGTCTTTGTACTTTCCTGAGCTAAGTGAGTAAGGTTGTATTTCCACACATGATGCTCCAACTACCATCTTTTTATCCACTCAGGGAACTGACCCATAACTCATTACAAACTTACTGTAGCCTCCTAACAACTCATATTTGAACTTAACCTTGTGTTATTAGCAAACTTGGATACAATACACTTGTTCCCTTTACCCAAGTCATGTCTATAGATTGTAATTAGTAAGACCCCAGCATGTTTTCTTGCTGCACCCCAGTATTCACACTATGCCAACTCTAGAATGATTTATTTAATCCTGCTCTCTGTCTGTTTACCAAACCCCTTTCTGCGCACCACATTATTCCCAACTTCATGAATCCTTATCCCTATGCAACGATCTCCCATGTGGCACCTGATCAAATATCAAATCCAAATGTACTACATCCCCTGGTTTCCCTTATTTACCCTGCTAGTTATTTCCTTAAAAACACAAATCGTTTCAAATCATTTCCATTTGATAAAATCTCATTGATTCTGCTTAATCCTATAATCTTTTCTACGTGTCTTTTTACCAATTCCTTAATAGCATGTTCTATTTTTTTCCAATGATTGATGGCTTTATGGCCTGTAGTAGTCCAACATTTTTTAGACTGCAAGACCATAAGACATAGGAGCAGATGTAGGCCATTCAGCCCATCAAGTGTGCCCTACTAACAGCATGGCTGATATGATAATCAGCAACACCATTTTCCTGCCTTAACCCCATAACCCTTAATTCCCTTCCCAGTTTCAAGTTTGAGATAGATAGATTGTATGTAAGGTTCTGGAGTAGATTTGTAGCTCGGGTTGTGGGTGTTGAGGTTGGTTGGCTCGCTGAGCTGGTTTGTTGTTCTGCAGACGTTTCGCTACCGTGCTTGGTAACATGCTCAATGCAGCCTCTGATGAAGCGTCGGTGTGTTTTCCCGCCTGGTTTTTAAACTCTGGGGTCCGTTGCGATGGATTGCCTCACTTCCGGGTTTCCTCCGTAGTGGAATATATATGGGGTCGAGTTCAATGTGTTTATTAATAGCATGCTTCATGGAGTGCCATGCTTCCAGGAATTCTCGTGCTTGTCTCTGCCTAGCCTGTCCCAGGATCTTGGTGTTGTCCCAGTTGAAGTCGTGGTTCTCCTTGTCCATGTGGATTGAGATGAGTGAGTATTGGTCGTGTCTTTTTGTAGCCAGTTGGTGTTCATGTACTCTTGTTGTTAGTTTCCTTCCTGTTTGTCCTACACTGGACAAACCAGCTTGGCGAGCCAACCAACCTCAACAGATTGTATGTAATTAATGGCCCAACCTTTACAGCCCTCTTTGGTTAAGAATTCCACAGATTTACTACCCTCCGAGTGAAGAAATTCCTCTTCATCTGTGTTAAGTATATGACCGTTATTCTGAGATTATGTCCTCTGAACCTAGTCTCTCCCACAAGGAGAAACAACCTCTCTGCAACTACCCTGTCGACTCCTTAAGAATCTTCCATGTCTCAACAAAGGTCACCTCTCATTATTCTAAGCTCCAATGAATACAGGCCTAACCTACTCAACCTCTCCTCATAAGATAGTCTGTCCATGCCTGGAATCAACCTCTTTTGCCCCTTTACTAATAGTAATTATTTTAATTTCTTCCTTTCCAGTGGACTTTTGGTTTGCTGCTATTTCTGATTTGTTTTCTTTTGCAAAGGCAGACACAAATGGTTATTCAGTGTCTCTGCCACTTCCTTATTCCCCATTACAATTTCTCCCCTCTCTAAGGGGCTTTTGATGACTTTTGCTACTCCCTTCCTTGTTTACATAGTTGTAGAAATAAAGTGTTCACTAATCCACAATAGGGTCTCACTCCAGGAATGCATTGATTTTGATACTTGTTATCTAATCTCTACATAATTTGTTCCTGTTCCTATCTCTTAAACATCCTCCAGTCCGAAAGCCCACTGTGATGTTTGTGTGTTTCCCCTTCAGGCTTCATGTGCATGCACTGTATTAATTGTTCCACTGTTGAGAAGCCTGTTCCTTGTTCTGGTTGATCTTTCTGTAAAGTAAGTCTAAACCAGAATGTGTCAACTAGAATAATTGATTCACACACAGAGGGCAAAACAGAGAGGGAAAGAAAAATGGGAAAAAAAAAGTGAAAAGAGACAAACAATAAAATTCTGGTGTCCCCGCTATAGGGTTAAACTTGAAAAGGTGCAGAAATGATTTACGAGGATGTTACCAGGGTTGGAGGGTTTGAGCTCTAGGGAGAGGCTGAATAGGCTGGGGCTATTTTCCCTGGAACGTCGGAGGCTGACGGGTGACCTTATAGAGGTTTATGAAATCATGAGGGGCAAGGATAGGGTGAACAGCCAAGGTCTTTCCCCAGTGTGGGGGAGTCCAGAACTTGAGGGCATTGGTTTAAGGTGAGAGGGGCAAGAGGGACCTAAGGAGCAACTTTTTCACACAGAGGGTGCTGCATGTATGGAATGAGCTGACAGAGGAAGTGGTGAAGGCTGGTACAAATACAACATTTAAAAGGCAGCTGAATGGGTATATGAATAGGAAGGGTTTAGAGGGATATGAGCCAAATGCTGGCAAATGGATTAATAGATTAATTTGGGATATCTGGTCAGCATGGATAAGTTGGACTGAAAGGTCTTTTTCTGTGCTGTACAATGTTATGACTCTATTTTTTAAGTCTTCCAGAAATAATTAATTTCTTGAGTTACAAGGCGCCAAACAATTCAGAAGTGGCTCTGGCTCTGTTCTTGAGGTTCATACAATCATAGTATCCCTACCATGTGGAAACAGGCCCTTTGGCCCAACAAGTCCACAATGACACTCAGAGCATCCCACCCAGACCCATCCCCCTAACCTATACATTCCCAAACACTCTGGGCAATTTAGCATGGCCAATCCACCAAACCTGCACATCTTTGGATTGTGAGAGGAAACCCACACAGACACGGGGAGAATGTCCAAACTCCACATAGTCAGTCGCCCGAGGGTGGAATTGAACCCAGGTCCCTGGCACTGTGAGGCAGCAGTGCTAACCACTGAGGCACCGTGCCACCCAGTTGTTGGGCAGTAATTAACCATGCCATTAAAAACTCACTTACACTGGAAAGTTTAAGCCCTAAACTTTTCTTAGTGCTTGGTGGCCAAGTACCTCGATCTCACATAAAAGCAGAACACTGTGTATACTGGGAGATCTGAAATGAAAACAAAAAGTGCTGGAGAAACTCAGCAGGTCTGACAGCATCAGTGTACAGGAAAACAGAATTCATGTTGCAAGTCTGGAGTAACTATTCTTCAGAACTGTTCCTCTTTCGTTCCAAAGAAAAGTCATATTGAATTCAAAACGTTAATTCTGTTTTTCCCTCTCCACCGATGTTTTC